AGTTTATTCCTTTTCCAAAACATAAACCGAGTCTGGAAAAATGTAAACGATGATAAAGGCCTTTGGCCGACCTCATGAGCAGCTGAATACAACAGCGATAAACAGGAAGTATCACAAGTTCATCTGTATGAAGGTAACTGCAGGGAAATTATTTTTTGCCATAATCACATTGTATGGTTACGTTAAAGGTTAATGCTTAAAGCTAGTTGTGTTTTGTTTTGTGTGTTTATATGTAGATATATGTTGTAACTTCTGGTTGCATAAGTTTAGTCTTTGTTTGCTATAATTAGTTAAAACTAAACTGAGATTCTCTACATCTATATATCTATTTATATATCTAGAGAGAGCGAGCGAGAGCGAGCGAGAGCGAGCGAGAGCGAGCTTTTTTTCTTGTCTGAGTTGGTGCAGAGTGACAATAACTCCTGGCGAGCAGAGGGATCTCTTTGGTACGCCCCCTCCTCCATTGCTGGCACTCTTCCATAAAAAAAAAAAAAAAAAGAAACTGTCCAGATGAGCTGACTGAAAAATGTTGGATTGTATACCTGGATTTTTGAGCATGGACTTTGTTGTTTTCAACCAGTTTGAAAAGACTGTCAACAAGGAAGAGGGCCCGGCAATGGAGGAGGGGCATACCAAAGAGACCATCTTATCACAAGCAGAACTGGTTTGTTCCACTTTAGAGTAAGCTGTTGTGGGAAGAATCAGTTTTGTTGAGTGTTTCCTTGACTGATGAAGCCTTCTGGATCGAAGGCGAAACGTTTCCGCACAAAAAAAGAAACTGTCCAGATGACCTGACTGGAAAATGTTGGATTGTACACCTGGATTATTGAGCATGGACTTTGTTGTTATACAGAGCTGAGTGTAGATTGATGACAGGTAACCAATATCTTGGTTTCATTATTCCCTGCTGCCAAAGTAAAAACCGTGATATACCCACGTTTGTGTCAGCAAAATATCTCAATGACCACTGGGGAACTCCAAGAAACCAGTAACTCAAAAATTTGGAGTCAAGATGGCCACTAGTTAACTATAAAAAACAAATGCAGTATAATGTGTCTAATTTTACAGCTTTGAAGCTAAATTTGATATGTTCAAAGCTGAGAGTCATCCCCAACACATTCTGCGAGTGCTAGGTGGCTAGATTTTGCAAGCTGTGTTAGCGCTCGGAGAACGCCAACATCATGGAAAATCTTTGCATGTTTGAGCAAAACATCTTTCATAAGATCATTTCAGTCGAACTCTGTGTGAAAAGCTGCAGGTGATATGCATTCCTTCAAAGATTGCTGGGACAGAAAATGTTGCAGTGATGTGCTCGTCTCACAGAAATACAGATGTTTTTAAACAAGTCAAAGATAACAGAGGCTGCTGGGAACAACAGTCCAATCTCATCAGAAAGACAAGTTCCATGGTCCAAACGGCACCGCTCAATGTGTCTCCCAAAGTTCAGCCGGCATTTCAAACACACCCTCAACCCAAGATCTGTCGTGTTTTAAGTCAAAGGTCACAAAGTTCTTCTCACTTCATTAGAGTTGATCCGACTGGTTTCATTGTACGATTTCAAATCCCATCGGTTATGGTTTTATATACCTGTTTATTTTATTAAATAAAACGCTTCACAATTTAAGGAAAATAAGTCTAGATCTATGCAAAACCTGTATTTTGCCTTCGTTGAAGAGTGGAACTCCTCCCTCGCCACGCGACAGTTCGACCAGGTCACAGGAGTGAAAGGGAACGTGCCCAAACATTCTCAGACATGTTTTACAACAGAGACATCGGCAAGCAACAGTTTTAATCTGTGTTCAAACATAATGTTGCATGAAGTGCATAACTGATTAGCATTTTCATGTAATACTTCAGGAAACTGACTTGAATTTCAGCTGCATGGTGAATTTCAGCTGCATGGTGAATTTCAGCTGCATGGTGAATTTCAGCTGCATGGACTCTGACGTCACATGGGCTGCAGAATGATGGCACTGACGGGAGCGACCCAATCTTTTTTTGTTCCTGTGGATTTGCACCTACACTGCACACCCACAGTCCGGGTATGACCGTGTCACACTGGAGTTTTCTGTGTCGTTGCCATCGTGGTTCAGTCCTTCCAGCCTCAGGCTCAGGCCCGTCATGGCGGCTGTCTCCATGATCCTCCATCTGCCTGCACGAACCGAACTGTACGGATCCGTTCGGCTCCGCGGGGAAACCTTATACGTTCTCCATCTACCGGACCCGGTTCTGGAGGACAGTCTGGGAGGGCAGCTGCTGCGGTCCTTATCATCATCAAGCTGCTAACGGGACCTGCTAACACTGCTAACAAGACCACGCCGCTAACAGAACCTCACTGCTAACAGTATCATGCTGCTAACTGGACCATGCTGCTAACTGGATCATGCTGTTAACTGGACCATGCTGCTAACTGGATCATGCTGCCAATAAAACTTCACTGCCAACTGAACCAGTGTGTTAATAGGACCATGCTGCTATAGATTGCTTTTTCACTTTCAGCACCTTGGTTTTGTTTTTTTTGCTGCATGCTTTGGTTTGCCGTTAATGTTTTTTAGGTGAGTCGAGACAGTTCTTCTCATCCTCAGCTTTTCATTGTTGACCTTGTGTTGATTTTACATATGACAAATAAACCAAACCTGAACCTGGTGTAGGACGCGTCTTCATCCTGAAAGCTTGGGATAGCAGGAAGTAAAAATGGGCAGGGAGCAGAAGGGATTGATCAGTTTTGTGGGAACAATTGCAGCAATTGGTCAAAATGGTAAAACTAGAGCAAAATTAGCAGGGATTGGTAGAGTTTGCATTAATTCAAAATTCAAAAATACTTTATTAATCCCAAAGGGAAATTATTTGTCGTTATCCTCATTTCATTAAGAGATGTTATAGATGCTGATGCTGTAGACAGGAAGGGTCTCTTGTAAAGGTCCATCCCACAGTGGATCCTAAGAAACTGGCTGCAGATGCCGTCCGATCCGTCCACCCAGACTCGGCTGGCCTCTCGGTTCCCCCAGGCTGTAGGACCGCCTGAATGCCGGGCAGAACTCCTCCCAGAGCGACGGCCACTCCTCCCAGCAGTCTGCCGAGCTCCTCGTCGCTGCGGACAGCCAACTGTAGGTGCCGAGGGATGATCCTGTCCTTCTGCTGTCATGAGCCATGTTTCCTGCTAGTTCCAGGATCTCAGTGATCAGACACTCGAGCACAGCTGGCAGGTAGATGAGGATGCATCCACAGAACATCCTTTTCAACTCATTTGAGATTTGGGGCTGTAGTTGAGATATTATTTGAGCTTTTGAGATGTTAATCAGCTGTTGGTTGTAGAAACTGCCTTGTTGGCATGGTTACGCATCATAACAAATGTCCAAAACCAAAAAAGTTTCAGTAAAAATCCTTCCAGCTGCACAGCATCTGATACCAGAGGAAACAATCATCTAAAAAATGTGATTTACATCCAGAAAAAGAGGAATTAAAGTTTCCAAAAGCAAAATCTCAGAATGAAAGTAACAGAGCTGCTCCAACATGCAGCCACCTGGAGCGGCGCAATTCTGGAACAAGGGGAAAAATAAATAAATAAAAAATAGTGGCTGCAAACATTTTAAAATGCAGTTTTTTTCCCCAAATAAAGCTCTAAAATAAATTAAAATAGCATTCCTTGAAGTTTTGCTTATTGTCCACTGCCTTGCAGGCCAGTCTGAAGTTTGGATCTGATAGTTCTCAGAGTGTGTTGGGGATGACTCCCAGTTACTACCACACTAAACTGTAACTCTAAAGATGACTGAGGTGTAGCCATTTCTGTGTTTGTTAGAACCGATTATCTGTGGGAACCACCTTCAATAAAGTTCAATAATCAGTTGTAGAAAAGCATCAAACTATTTCTTCCTGACAACTTTTAAATTCGGTCTTCAGGTTCAAGAGATATTTTTCTAACAGACAACTAAACGAAAATGTAAGTATTTACTGTAGGTGATAGTCTACCTTTCATGGCTATGCACATCAGTTTTTACAGTGTGTACAATGTTTACATTGATTTGAACACCGTTTAGGTCATGTGACATCTGACCATATCAGTGTCTGTTTTGGTCACAGATGAATAAAAGTTAATTTTAAACAACTACAAAACTGTTTGGAATCTGCATAATTGGCTGTTTTTGTAAAAATTCTCTTGAAAGTATGTAAAGTAAAATGTACTGAAAAAGATATATTCTGTGTAATAATAAATAAATGAAAGTGAAATGAAAATGGCTCGGGGTCGAGCCTGATAATCATTTCTTGCCATCGATGTGTGCAGAGAAAAGTTTCTGACTTTGAGAGGTGACGGGAATTTGGATCCATTCCATCAGGCTTCATTTATCTCTAACCATTTCTGTGAAAAAGTAAAATCAGTATTTGTGACACAATTTCAGTTTTTTTTATTCGACAAAACAAGATCTATAAAACTTCTTACGTTTTGGCCAAGAAATGTCAGGATTTTATTTGCAGCGTGGTCCTGGTCAGAACTAAAGATCCAGAGAAATCCTTTGATGACTCAATCAAACAAGGGGCTCCAGGCTTGACCTTTGACCTGTACAGTGACAGCTAGTCACGCTCAGCTGTTGTACCTTCCCCTGTATGTTCCCGTGTGTGTTTGTGCTGCCTGGTGATAACGCTCCTTCAGTCTCAACAACAGATACCTGCCTACTATCAAGGAGAGCAAACTCCAGCCCAGTGTCAGCCTCATTAACCGGGACAGGGACAACGTGGAGCAGACAGCTGATACTCCATCAGCTCAGATAACACTTATCTACAGGACCAGGTAAAACCTGCACACAGCTGCTCAGGTCAGAACAAACACGGTCAACAGCTTTCATTACTTTTACATTTTAATACTTCAGTTCTTCTGCGCCTCTGATTTCTCCCCAGAATTGTAGATGCATCATCAAAGCTGTATCATTTTTATGTTCACGAGACCCCAAAAGGAAGAAGTGGATAAAGATAACGGATGGATGGATAAAGACATGTTTACCTACCCTGACAGGGAAATAATCCCTGAAATACGTCCACACCGTCCAGTTTCTAACCCAAGACGATCTCCTGCCTCCTGAGAACAGAAATAAATCAAATCAGAAAAATGCACGTTAGAACTAGAACCACATTTTTAAAAAGGCTGTGAAACTGAATAAAAACTGAATACAAACGCTGTAAACACTGTGCATCCACAAGGAACATAGTAAATGTTTGAAGCCAGAGTAGTTGTCTAAATACATTTTTCTCATTTTCATTTGAATTTTCTGTATACGCTTACCAATCACTGAAGTTAGCTGTAAACAAAGGAGGAGGATATTTGCTTCTTTCCAACACATCTGATGAGTTTGAGTTACATCAACTCCCAACAGTCATTTAATGGTGTAGTTCAACTGGTGTCCCAGGACCACCGGGGGTCTGTGAGCCAGTGCTTGGATACAATTCCATTCAGTTTTATGTAAACCGTTTTCTGTAATGTTTTGAAGAAGTGTCAATACATTTATTGTGTTCATTGTGTGAATAGGTGAAGTTTTAAAGTGGTTTTTGATGCTGTGAATTTTCTCAAAACTAAATTTTTGTAAGTTGAAATTAAACATTTTGTTAATTGTGTCTTGAATGAAAAATACCCCATGCTTAAAAAGTACACAAATTGCAATGACACTGTTAAAGAGCAGGTCTCAAGTATTTATATTAACACAAATATTTCCATTGCATTAAAGAGACGAGCTGAAGAAATTTATTTAATAAACATTTTGTTCCAAACTCAAATTAAATCTGCAAGCAGCTTTTTTTTAAACTCGTTAATGCAGATTTTAGCATTATTAACAGTGAATTTTCATATTCTATATAATTCAAACTTAAACATACATTGCTTTATTTTCCTAATCCTTCTGATAATGGGGGGGGGGGGGGGGGTAAAATAATCTCATTTGGACCATGTTTTTTAACTTGGTGTGCAGGATACTGATGAAAAAAAGTGACACTAAATGCAACTTAGTCGAACATAAATATATATATTTTTAATCAAAGTTGCGAAAAATAAAACTTCTAAAAGATATATTCAAAGTATTTTTTTTTAAATCAAAAAGTTAACACTAATTAATCATTAAAATGTTTTCAAGTAGATGCAACTAAGATTAGAGAGCATGTGCACAGTGAAGTAAGTTTGTGAGATGCGACAGAATATTTTCCTGATCTTTGTTTTCAAGCATCAGCAAGGAACTCAAAGTACTGAGTACAATTTCAAAGTAATCTGGCAAAGGGGGAGGGGCTATTGTATCAATGTACATTAGAGCTAAACACAAGACTTTAAAAACCAAAACAAATAAAGTTCCCCCAGTCCTGTACCTCAGTGATAACAGGCATGATTCTTTCTGAACTCATTGGTCTCTCCAAATGTTGGACCCACTTCCACAGAGAGTTAAAACAGTCCAAGCAGCAGCTGATAAAAGATTATTCCAAGTTTCTTCCTCCTCAGATAAACTCCACCATTTACAAACTGACGTAGGACTGATTGTCCATCACACAGGTCAACTTGACCTGAGGCCGTCAGCCTCAGAAAGAGAAAGGAGGGGGTGGGAGTCTGTCTTTCCCCATCACTACTGTTCAGTCTGTGGGAGATGATACCTGAGTGAGCCGCATGGATTGTTTATTTAAAATAATCAAGCACGACCCGAACCGAGCTTTGAGTCCCCCTCAGTGATCACTGAGCGGGCCAGGTCACCGAGAAATGTCCCGGTTCTCCCAATGACCAGTTCGCCCCGGGGTTGGCTCAGTAACCGTAGCATCAGTCTGTCTGCTCCCTTTCGCTGTGCTCTTTTAGAGCGTTTAGAGCATTGTTAAGAACAACGCAAGTGTGTGGGAAGAGCTTATAAACATTAAAATATGTATACATACTAAAATATAACATCCCTACTTCACAGAGTTTCATCTAGAGCATAACCCCCGTGATAAGTGAGGGACTACTTTACAGCTGCACAGATTCAATGGGTGTCAATGCAAGTTAAAAAAAACTATCTAGATATCTATACATCTATATCTAGATATAGATGTATATCTAGATATACATCTATATCTAGATATAGATGTATATCTAGATA